CTTTCACCTGCCCTCAAAGATGCTGCATACAGTCCCAGGAAGCTTTCACCTGCCCTCAAAAGGCAGCACAGCAGGAGAAAAACATTAGAAAGCAAAAGTCAAGCCAGTCACAAAGTTCTATTTTTAAAGGCAAAGAAAACACCAATTTCACAGATATTTCAAATCACAGCACATTATACTTCAAAAGGCAGCAAGAAATTAGGGAGCAACAGTAACACAGGGATGAAAGAATTACATCAACTTAAAGGGTTATCAGGTCTAGCTTTGCATCGTATTTGTGTTTCCAAGCTTGTTCTTCCTGACAATAAAAATCATTTCAGACAAAGACTAGTGAAAGTCATGGCAGAATTGGCAAAATGTAGACAAGTTCTCTGGAAGCAAAACAAATCACCAGATGAAAAGAAAATCAATGACACAGGTTCTGTTGAGGACAGAGGAATCTCAGACATCATTCAAAAAGAAAAGCAGCGTGCAGAAAATAAAGAACTAAAACACATTTCACCAGAAATTCTGCCTAAGTTCAAGCAATCCTTCAAGGTCAACACTTACCAGTTAAAATTACCTTTGCATTCATTAACAGAAACAAACTGGAAGAATAAAGAGTCTCCTGAAGATTTCATTGGTGTTGCAGAATTTGCTCCAAATAGCAAAACAATTGATCCGCATATTCCAAAGCATGAAAAACTTTTAAAAGAAGCTGTATCTGAGCCTATGCAGAAAATTTTTTCCTCTTCCAAAATGGAGATGAGTCGAAGCATGAATTCATGGGAAGATCTCAAAAATACTGATAAGTTCCATGTTCAGCTTTCAAATGGAGAGAAGTTATTAACTAGTACATCAACAATGCAAAGTAGCTTTCCAAAAGAAAATGCACAAGAGCAAACAGATCTTCTAGAAGTTGTCATGGAGACTTCAGATATCAATTTGTTTCTTTCACTAAGAAGTGAAAAACACAAAAGTAGTGACAAATTAGCAGGCATAAATATTCGATTGAATACAGAAGGTATAATTCTGAAGGAAAAGAAACCATCAGTACTGAATATTACAGACTATGATGTCCTAAGTCCAAGTAAGGAAACAAAATGCAACACTAGAAGCAACATAAAATATATGAGTAAAGAAAAAACATCAGATACATTTCAGAATTTTGCCTACGCTACCATTTCTGAACCATCTGATTTGGAAATGTACAGCAGAATAAAATCTGAGACAGACACATCAAGGCATTTAACAGCAGAGCAAAAGAAACAACCAAATGAAGAGAAAATATGCAATGCAAAATCCATTGATAAGGACTACATACGAGATATTTTTAAAAGTCCACAATGTGAACAAGAGGAAGAGCGAGAACCTTTACAAGAAGCAGCTTCACAGTCAGTGCAAGATTTCAAAGTCCCCATACATTTAAAGCAGCTGCTCAAAAACGTCAAATATGAAATGGAACAGAGCAGTTCAGGAAGTAAGGAACCCCAAACTAAGGAGCAAACAATACCAACACAAACACTTTCTACAGAGACTATTTTGGAAACTATCCCATGCCCCACAATGGATCCATTTCAAGTTGACAAGCTGAAGCAAAGCACAAACAGGAATACAAACAGAGAATATACTGGTGATTCAAGGACTCCACGTTCATTGCCAGAGAAAGTACAAGTTGGTGAACATTTACGCGAAACAACAGAGTGTGATGTCCCATTTAGTAGAAGCCCAAGAAAGTCACCGGAGGGTTATGTTGCAGAAAAAAGGGAAGAATTAAAAAGAGTTTTACCTAAATTTGCTCTGGAGTCTTTTAATATCTACATGCCTACTTTATCAAAATTTAAAAGGCCAAAAACAAGAAAAAAATTATCAGGAACAAAAAGTGCGTCCAGTCGCAAACATGTAATTATGAAAGTAAAGAAGCCAGCAATTTCCCTGATGCCACACATCAATGGATATGGTACTCCAAGTCATAGAAAGAAATTGGGATGTTATTTTAAAAATATAATGAAACAAATCCTACATGGTAAAATTATGACAGGCGTGTTTCTGAATGTAATTTACCCAGACGTGGCTATTGTGCCCAATATTATAATGTATCACAGATTAAGAGCAAAGAAGCGTAATCATACCAATTTAACGCTTAGGACTTCCCAAGTAGAAAGGGAAGAGAGGTGTTCAGATTCTACTAACAAGGGAGATGTCTCTAAAGACATGCTAGAAACTAAGTTGCAAAATGAAGTGAACCAGGAAGCTCAACCAAAAGCTGTTCCTCATGATAGTTGCCATTTCATTTTTAATGCAAATCCAGTTAAGGAGCTTAAAACAGAAAAAGACATGCAGCAAGAAATCCCATTCACAGAAGCCACTGTGGAGTCTAGTGACTCCCTTTTAATGGACCAATTTCCTGTTAAGAATGTGCAGAAAAGCCTCACAGGACCAACACACAATCTAGGCTCTGAAGAGTCTAAGATACCTGTTGCGGACAATGTAGAATCACCACAACACTTACCAGCAACTTTCTCAGAGACTTGTAACCTAAAGCTCAAAGCTAAAAAGATAAACCCAGGTAAAGGACTAGAAGAGGAATTTATAAATACCATTTACTGTTCCATGGATGGCAGGTTAGGAGCAGAGCCAAGCCGTTGCTGTCAGGCTCAGTCAAAGCAAGGAGAACCAGCAGATGAAGAGTCATCACAGTATGCTGACTCTTCTCATCAGAGGAGTATCTCCTACAACAGAGAAGAAAAAGTGCAAGACAGAGAGGAAGAAGAACAAAGAGATTTACCAGAAGCAACTCCACAGCATAAGCATATCCAAGATCCCAGATCTGATATATGTCTTGTGAGGGAGATCCACCCAGAACTGAACTATTTGACAGTGAAGCTGCCTATTGACAGGCAAGAAGATGCACAATGCCAAACATGTTTTGCACAAACTGTTTTGGAAGCTAGCCCTATAAGGGATCCAAGAGAAGCTGAGCAGCTACAGCAAGCTAGCAATTCAGAATATGACATAAAAGTCCCTGTGACTCCCAAGATTCAGCTGCCAAAATTAGAGGACTCACCACTCAATAAACTTCTGGACACGATGACAGAATGTGATTTTTCATCTGATGGAAACCCTGAAAGGGAATGTGATTATTATTTTGTGGAAGAAAATTCAGAGCTACCAAAAGATTTGCAACTGACACACCTGCAGTCTTCTGATTCCTTTAAATCTTTTGTTTCTGAATCTAAAAGACAAAAAACCACAATAGCAAACAAGCAAACAATAATGAGTGGCAAATGTACAATTATGAAAGCAAAAAAGTCACCAATTTCACATATGCTTAATGGAAGATATAGTAGACGATGCCATCTTTACATGAAGTCAAAAGATCTGCCTCAAAGTAAAAGTGTGGCAGATGCACATCTGGACACCAGTCAGTCTACTGTGTCTATTTTGCCTAACAACACAAGTAGTAGCTTAAAGGAGGCAGACATGAAAATGAGGCAGATAACAAGACTTGACCACATACAGCCAATCCAAGACACACTGCCAACTAGAAGGAAAGTCTGGTGCCAAGATTCTATTGGTATGAGTAGTATGTCGAGTACTGTGAAATATGGAAAGGAAGAGGAAGGAAAACATGAAGCTTTACCAACTCCAGAGAATAACCAACACTTCAGATCCTGTGAATATCAGAAGAAGGATCATGACCTTGTCAAATCAGATGAGCTGTTGAACCAACTAAGAAGTACCAATATTCAGGTGCAAACACAAACACGCTTTACACAAACAATTTTGGATTCTACTTCATTCCCTGCGATGAATCCGTTTCGATTTGAAAAGCTAGAGGAATGTGTTAGCATTTCACCTCCAAAGTCAGAGGAGTCAAAGACTGATGAAATAATACTTTCTGCAAAAGAATGTGGTGCCCTATCTGATGGAAACCACCAAAAGGAACAGGATGGTGGTATCGAAAAGAAAAAGACAGTGGCTTTTGATGTCTGTATGCCTGCTTTATCTCCATCCAAAAGGGAGGAAATCTTCAGAAAATTTTCAGATATGAACATTTCAGTGAGTCCCAAATGTGGCATTATAAAGGCAAAGAAACCATCAAATTCATACATGTTCAATATCAATGGTAGTGCTGGCTCAGACCATAGAAAAGAATTGGGATACAACTTGATCAACAAAACGAAAGAGATGCATTACGATAAAGAAGCCCAAGACAAAATATACCCTTTTGTAACTATTACACCTGACATTAGAATGTATAACAAAATAGAGACAGAGGAAGGTCTGTTAGGGGGAAAATATCTCAGTTCTACACATGTAAAGCTAGAGCTATCAGCACATGAAGGGCACATTACTTCAGATGACACCAAAGAAGCCAGTCTTCAAGATCAAGATGAAGAAGAAGCAAGTGAACCCGAGGCATTGTTTACAATAATCCCACAGTGCAGTCAGCATTTCATATTCTCTTCAAGTCAGGGGAATAGACTTGACCTTCATGAATCAGAAAAACAAAGAAGTAGGAGAATTCTGCTTGTTACAGAACAAGATGTACCACAGCAGATAGAGCCTCTAGAGCCAATTCAGTTTGAAGAGCCAAAGAAAAGCTTCCAGCAACAAAATGACACAATATATCCAGTGAGCTCCAAGCCTCCTCCTCTAGAGTCTGGAGAATCACTAAAAAATCGTGAAGTATTAACTGATATAATAAAATGTGATGTCCCAACTGATGGAAGCTATAAAGGGCAATTGCACATTCCTGAAAAGGGGGTAAAGGCAGAGTTAAGTAATCTACAAGCAACTATCCTAGAACCTGTGCATTTTGCCACAAGTGATCTACCTGAATCTAAAAGACAAAGGAAGGCCACTAAATACAGACCCTTAGAAAGTAGAATGAGTCTCAAACGTGCAATTATGAAGGCAAAGAAGGCACCAATTTCACAGATATTTAATATCCATAGGTGTGGTCATATAAAACTACATCCAAAGAACACCAAATCACAAACTGCTGAATCGTTAATTCATACAAAAGACTCTGGGAGCCCATTTGATGAACTTCACATGAGGGTTCTGGAAGCTCTAACTGCAAAGAAAAAGGAAGGACTACCACCAGATTTATTAGCAACCATTCTGAAGACTTGTGATTTCTCCACGCTTGCTTCACTTGCATCTAAAAGGAAGCAAAACTATTTAAAACTGACAGACAAGAGAAAGAAAATGAGTCCCAAATATGTCACTTTGAAGACAAACAAGAGATCAATTTCCAAGACATTTAATATGCCACGAGGTGCCACTCTAAGCCATAGAAGGCAATTAGAACACAACTTCAAAACCATGATGAAACAAGTTAAGTTTGTGGCAGATGTGTTCCAAAATGTCATTTCCCATCCCGTGCCTGTGTCACTTGACAGTAAAATGCATGACAGAATGAAAGTAAATACAGACATGCTGTGTAATTCATCCAGATTCCATCATGAATTGCAACAGCAAGAGCAATCACCCAATGAAGACAGAGTCTGTTGTGTCAATCCCAGTAAAAATGAAATAAAAGACCAAGGTAGAGGAGAAGAGAATGCTGGAGACCAAGTCAAAGCAATCCCACTGAATTCCCAACACTTCAGTTTCAGTGTTCATGAAACGAAGGAACTCAACTTTGTGAAATCAGATCTGGAACTGAAGAATTCAGAAAGAAAAAGCATCTTAGGATCCTTCACTACATCGCCAGAGCTACCGCAACAAACACTTGACACACAAAAGCTAGTGAAGACTATTTTGTATTTTATTTTGCATTCATTGCCATTAGAGATGATACAGAAAAGGAAAAAAATACAAAAAACCTTTAAAAATACAGAACGTACAGAGATTTTATATTCAATGCCAGGGAAATCAATTCGTAGAGCTTTAAATGTTTCAACAGAGAGCGATAACCCCTTTGAAAGAAACACTAGAAAAGAACTCTCTTGTAATCCAGAGGAAAAGATAAAGTCACAAAAAGATTTACAAGCGAGAACCCGAGAACTTCTTGATCTTCCCATGCTTATTTCAGACTCTAAAGGGCATAAGAGGCCAACACAATTACCAGGCAAGAAAAGTACAGTGAGTACCAAATGTGCAACTTTGAAGCTACAAAAGCCACCAATGCCACAAACTCTGAGTGTCACTGCAAGTGTCAGCCTAAACCATGAGAAAAAACAGATACACAACTTTGAAGTCAAGGTAACAGAGCTGCAGCAAGGGAAAAGTATACCAGATGCCTTTTCGAATACCCATGTCTCTTTTGCATCAGCTTCAGCTGATGTTAAAACTTGTGAAACAATAGACACAGAGACAAACAGATTAAGAAAAATAAGATCCAGATTAATGTCACAAATCTGTTCCATAAATAAAGGCGGTACCATAAATCAGAGAGATGCAAAAGTGCAAGAAAAGGGTCAGGAGAAAGCTTTGCTAAAAGCCATCCCACAATGGTTTCAACAAGACATGCTCGCTGACTATCAAAAGGAAGAGCCAGACCCTGTTAGGTCACATACAGGTTTGCACAGTTCAGGAAACAAACAAAAGCAAGAATTGGTTACAATGCAAGAGGTGGCACAAGAAACAACTTTTTCAGAAACAACTTTAGAGACTCTTTCTTGCCCTCTAAAGGACCTGTTTCAAGTCAAGTCATCAGAAAAGAACATCAAAACACAAAAAGGTGTAACATATGCAAGAGATCCAAAGATTTCATCTCAGACCTTAGGGAAATCAGTAGTGGATGTACATTTACAAAGTGAAGTAGGTAAATCACGTGAGAGAAGCCATGAACGGGAACTTGATGGTCAGATTGTTAAGGTGAAGGCAAACGTACCAGTCTTTGAGGCTCTTGATTTCCCCAGGCCTGCTTTATCTGAATTTGGGGAGCAGAGAAAGGAAGCACAAACCTCTAAGTGTGTACCTGGGAAAGGAGAGATGTCATCATTTTTAGAGACAATCAGTATCACTAAGTATAGTGACCTAAGCTACAGAAAGGAACCCAAATGCAAGCTTAGACACATAACTAAAGAAATAGCTCAAGGCATGCCAAATATATTCGTGAATTCTTATCTTCCACCCACATCTGATTTATCTGGCACCAAAATGCATAAAAATGTAAACGCAAGAGAAGATCTGTTAAGACAAACAAACAATGTTGCACAGCTAACTCTAGATGAAGAGAAAAGATTGCATGTGAATTCCTCTAATAAATGGAGCATCTCAAGCAACACATTAGAAGAAAGAAGGCAAAATGAAAAAGAAAATAAGAACAAAGACGTTTTATTAGAAGCAGGTGTGCAGTTCCTGGAGAGCACAGGAAGTAGAAAAGATCTAAGTGTGGTTACTACAGAGAAAGAGGCTCAGCAACTAACACTGGTTTGTTCTAAAATGACCCCATTTCAGATCAACCCAGCACAAAAAAATACATCATATACCAGCAATGGGATGACAATTCCATCGCCAAAGTCAAGGAAAGCAATAGGTGACAGTCTTGTCATTGATAAGACAGAGTACAGTATGGCACTGGATGGGATCCCTATAAGGAAGCTGAATGTTAGTAAGGCAGTTGTTGTTCAACCTGAGGAGAGGGAGAAAGACATAGTAACTCAGAGACTGGTAAAATACGCAACTGATCAAAATGTCCTCCCGGCCAAAACTGAGCACGTGGTGCTCGGAGATCCAAATGAGGAAGTCCCAGCAAAGAAACTGGATAGTCATGGTGCCAAGAAAAATGAAGACTCACAAAGAGATATGCTAATCATGGGCATGGTGTCTGTTTTATCGGATTCTAAAAGGCAGAAAAATGTGTTAAATTTTCCAGAACGGAAAGGTATGATGGATCCCAAATATAAAACTAAGAAGACAAGGAAGTTTCTGTGTTCAAAGCTATCTAATGTCACCAGGCATGGGAATCTACACTGTAAGAAGGAACTGGAGCATATTTTGAAATCTAACATAAGGGACATGCAGCAAAGTAAAATTATAGCTCACTCATTTTTGCCACCCAAACCTGTTGCAACTGGTAGAAATGTAGATACTGAAATGAAAAGCACATCAAAAGTAGTGACAGATAAAGCAAAATTAAAATTACACAATTCTATCTATCCCGGACTAGCACAATCATCACAAGATGGGGAAGCATGGAAGGTCAATTTTACTGATACACAAAGCAGATTAAGCAACACAATGAAAATGAACATGCAATATGAAGAGGAAGGAAAAAACTTAAAAACAATGTTGGAAGAATCTGTTTCATACTTCAATTCCCATGCAAGTCAAATGAGAGATTGTGGCAAAACAGAATCTGGACTAGATAGTTCAGAAGTCAGAAAGACACAGAATTTGCTTTATACAGTCCAAGAAATGAAGCAAGAAACAGATTGTAAAAAAGCTGTATTGGAGCCTGTTTCTAGACACATGATGAATTTTCAAGTTCAACCAGTGAAACAAGGTTTCCATACACACGAAGAAATAGAATGTATGGAAAGCACGGACGTATCGAAAGCACACACAGACATTCCTAGAGTCTACGTGTTCGGTGATCATCCGCTTTTAAAGCAAAATAAATCATCAGATGAAGGTGAAGCTAGGCCAAAAGATTCCACTGAGAAGAAATGCACACCTACAATCATAAAAGACACAAAATTGCAAGATAAAGAGGGAGAAAGAAGTGACAAAAAAGCCTCAGTGCATCTGACTCGACTTTCCTTACAAATGCAGCTTGTGAAAGAGAGCATAAAAGCACAAGAGCTCATAACATGTAGGAAAAGCCCAAAGAATTCATCTCCCAAACCCGAGAAATCAGTCATTGGAGAACTATTAATAGGCACAACAGAGCATGGTGCTACTTGTCATGAGAGCCCTGGGAGGAGCAAGGAGAGTCAGCTCATAGGAGAAAAGGCAGGGTCTCATAAAGGCTTCCCAGACACTGTCACTGCCCTGCAGTATTCTGGCTTACCTATGCCCATTTTATCAGAAAATAACAAGCAAAGAAGTATATTACAGCCACAAGGCACGAAAAGAACTATGAAATACAAATATTTATCTAGAAAGGTCAAGAAGCTCCTAATTCCACAGTCATGTTATGTCACAGGTGGTACTTCTCCAAGCTATGGCAAGTTCAAGTACAGCCGGAAACTGATCTTACAAGAAAACCACGAGGCAGATGCATTTCTCAATACCAGTCGTTCTCCCATACTTGCTCCGTTGGACATCGAAATGGATAAGAAATTAAAGGCAGAAGAAGTAGACATATTAAGGCAAACTACTATCAATCTTACACAAATGCAGCAAGAAAAATCAGATGACAGGAAAGCACAGGAGACATATTCTAGTAATAAGAGAAGGTCCTCAAGAAATACATTTAAAAAAATATTCGAACAGTACCAAGAAATTGTCCCAAAAGAAACTCCACCTTATATACAATCACTCAAGTCCGATACATACCAAATAAAAACTCCTGATTTAGTCCAATCAAAAAATGGAATGTATAGTAAAAGAAGAAGGGAATGTCTAGATTTTATTGTGAGAGAACAAGATGTGCAGCAACAAACATCTTTTCCAGAAACTGTTTCGGATTCTACTTCCTGCCACATAACGAGTCAGTTTCAAGCTGAGAAACTGAAGGAAGACAACCAAACACACAAAGGAATACAGGTTACTGACAGTACTAAGATTCCACCACCCATATTAGTGACTGATAAACTCTCACTTGATCCAACAGAGAGTGACAATGAGCCAAATGGAACACTTCAAAATAATCTGGGTCACTGTATTGCAGAAGAAAGGACAGAGTTAATAGAACATATAGCAACAACTTTCTTGGAGCCTTTAGATTTCTTCACGCCTGCTTTTTATAACTCGAAAATTCCGATAAACCCAGTACAATTCTCAGAAAAGAAAATTACATTGAGTCTCAAATGCCTAACTCTGAAGGAAAATAAATCATCAATTTCAAAGGTATATAAAATCCACCGACAGCTTTTTATAAAACACAGGGAGAAACTCCACTACATTTTAAAAGCCAAAATGAAAGAGAGATTTCGAAGTAAAAATGTGGCTGATATATATCCAAATACTGCTGAGTTCACACCAGATACCTCTGCCATTCAAAAGCAAAGTGGATTCCCAACAAAGATGGAGACAAGGGCATCTAGGTTTGGTCATCTACTGCTACCACAAGTGGAGTCACCAGCTGAAGGGATAGCAAGGCATTCAGATTCCAATGAGATGGGAGGTGCTTCAAACATTTTAAAGGAAGCAGAATTACATGATGGTGTAAGTGAGGAGGAGAAGCAAGAGCTGCTCGTAGACACTGGCCCAGTGTATACCAAAACATTCATGGTAAATGCAGATCTCATAATGAAACCTGATCCTGGCAAATCAGAAGGTGTCATTTTAGGCGAATCTTCTTCTCCCAAAAGTCAGCTCTACACAGAGAATTCAGAAAAAAATTTAAAAATAGAAAATCCCCAAAATACACGAACAAGTCTTGAAACTGAACTCCCAAATATGAAAAGATCAGAAATGGATGTAGAACTGAGTGAGCCAAAAGGTGATGCTATGTCTAGTAAAATGGGTAAAAATATCATTGGAAATTCCATTGTGAAAGAAAAAGCTCAACGTGGCAGTTTAGCAGGAACTATTCTAGGTTCTGTTGGCAGACATTTGCATGCTTCAGAAAGAATTAAAAGACAGAATGGTGGCCTAAAAACAGTTGGCATGTCAAGCACCAATCCTCAAGGTATACCTTTGAAGTTAAAGCAATCGCTTAATACCACAGGTCTATACATTAATAAGCATCAGGAAGAGAACTTTAAAGCCCAGAAGATAGAAGGTAAAACAGTATTCAATGCAGAGCTAAATCATCCTGTATGCCCTTCTATGTCTATCTCCCCACACACAGAAATGGAGCAGTCACCTAGTACATGGGCTTTATATGCAGAATCTGCTGATGAGAGAAATGCCCCACATGAAGCAAAAGCTAGAGAGAAAGAAGAATATGAGCAACAAGTCTTGTTTAGGACAGCTTCACAGTATACCCAGCCATTTCAGTTTGGTGCAGATCAAATGACAGAACCTGACCCTTTCAGATTAGAAGTACCGTTAATCAATACAGTGCACCCCAAGAACATCACTCCTCAGAAAACAGAAATTGGTTTAATAGAGCAAGAGACAGAGATAGAAGTTCTCGAAGGGATTGGTCCAGAGTCTGTTTTTTTGTCTAAGCTATGTCAGCTTCGTACTGAAAAGCAGAAGATGGAATTGAAAACTAGAAACTGGAAAACAGTAGTAAATACAAAGGCAGAGAGATCATTAACCAATGCATTTTCTTTTAATACAATGGTTTATGATAGCTCATTACAGCGTAGAGAAGGAAAAGAACTAAAAGGGCAGGGATATTTTGCCCTGCATAAGAAACAGCAAAAGTCACATGTCTCAGGACATTTCTGGGATTCTGTTTATGCCGAAACACCTACATATCCTGAAATTAGAAAACATCAAGATAAGGCAAGCATATCACATGTAGAAAACACTGTGCCCATCAGACAAATAAAGCTGAAGAAAAATAAAACACCCGTTTCCCAGCTGCTTAGTATTACCCGACATGGTATGAGAAACACTAAAAAAGAACTGAGATATAACATTAAACCAGAGGAGGCATCTGAGCAGAGGGAAAATGTAGATTTAGTTCTGAAAGCTATTTATGAATCTGTATGCATTACTTCTCATTTTCAAAAGCTTTCAGAAGAAATAAAAATGGAAAAAGAAAAGCCTAGAGGGGCAGTACTCATTACTCCACAGCTAAATCTAGAGAAACCACTAAATGGAAGACAAACATTATCTTCAAGATCCAAAAACCTCAAACAATATACGAGAGAACAAGAATGCCAATGCAATTTAGTAGATATGCCTCAACGACATACCCAACAGTTAAGGCTTAGCTCACAACAAAAGAAGAGGCGCCATCGCGCCAAATTCAAAGTAGACTTGCGGAGAAAGGTGTTCTCTGAAGAGGCCTTACAGAAAGGAGAATCTGATTATATTGTACTCGATATCCCCAGCAGTAGAAGAGGAGGAGTCTTCATTAAATGGCAAGAGGCACAGAAGTATTTCTTGAAACAAGAAACGCAGAAACTAGAAATGATTCCTGAAACCAGTCTGGATTTTACTTCCTGTCCTAAGAAGAAACCTCCTCATTTAAGAAGGATAATAAAAGTCAGAACAAAGCCACATTTAAATTTCTCAATTTCACGGAGAAAAAAAGGATTGAAGTTGACTAATAGCCTATTAAATTCACAAAAACAATGGTTTCTTGTTCCAGGGGGAAAGGCCCAGAAACTGAAGCCTTACCCAGGGATGATGCTGGAGCCTATATCCTCTTGCTTACTGGATCAATTTCATACCAAAAAGTCAAAGGAAGAAGTGAAAATCAAAGATAATATTTTAAAGGGCTCAACTCAACAGGAAAAGAAAATATCAAATAAAGAATATATTCCAAGTGTGGACTTCCTTTCCAAAAGTACAGAACAACTACTCATGCTTATTAAGAAACAGAAGAAAAGGAAAACAAATAGAAAGAACAAAGAATTTAAAATAGTAGCCAATATGAACGTAGACATGAACTTTGGTCCAGCTCTAGAGTTTTCACCAGCACATCTTCTTCACACAACAGAGCATGCTGACACAATCAGACAAAGAGATGGACAGGAACTAAGCAGGAGCTTAGACATGCAAAGGGGACAGTATTGGTTGGGTGGTCCAGGGGCTTTCCTGGACTCTACCTATACAAATAGACTTATTTCTCCTGAAGGAATAGGCCAAAAAGATCAAAGAAAAGATACCATGAAAAGTACCATGTCACCCAAAAGGATAAAAATGAAGGCAAAGAAAACACTTGTTTTCCAGCTACTTCATATTACAAGATATGGACCCCGAAGCAATAGAAAGAAGCTAAGATGTGACATTAAGATACAGAAGGAGTGCCAGCCAGGTGAAAATGTAGCCAATTTAGTCCTGAAAACTACCTGTGATTCTGGATCTCTTCCATCTTCCATTCAAGAGCTTATAGAAGTAAAAAGGGAGAAAGAAAGGACTAGGAAGCAGATGCTCATTCCACCACAGCAAAAGCTGGAGAAATCACAAAACGAAAGAAAAATGTCACCTTTAAAGTCCATTTATAAAAGTGATATAGTAAGAGAGATAAAAAAACCAAAACGATGTATTAGAAAACAAAAAGAAAAATACCAAAGTGTTTTACTAGACATTTTCCCACAATATAGAAGTCATTTAGTGTTTAGCAAACCAAAGAAGAAGTCCAACCAATTTAAATTAAGAGTAGATTTGGAAAAAGAAGTGTATCCTGATCTATCTTTACAAAAAAGGAGTAGCAATTATACTTGTTTCGAAATCTCCCAAAACGTAAAGGAAGGTCATGTAGACACTGACAGACATTTATTTTCAGTTCCATGGGCAAGAAAAGGATCAGTCGAAACTGGTATCCCATTACATCCAGAAGTACAGAATATGCTTTTTACAGAAATGGATACATTTCAACATAAGACTTGCAAGGAGCAAGAATTGCTGAAACAAGAAAGTGTTTCAGAAACAAATCTGCGGTCTGCTACTTGCCCCTTTATGGAACCTGTTCCTTTGGAAAACACTGGACAGTTGACTCAAGGAAACATGTATGTGAACAAAAGAAACATTTCACATCCATTCGGAAGAGAAGGATTAAAGGACACTGATATTTTGCCAGATTCAAAAGGAAAGAAATTTCTTAGTACACATCTAGATGTTCAGCAAAAACTAGCTGGAGTGCAGAAAGGAGAGGTGAAACCAAATCAGATTCCTGAAGAGATTTTGAATTCCCTATCTTTCCCCAGTAGGGAACCTCTTTATTTAAAACAGGTAGTAGATACAAAAAGCAAAGAAGACATTAACATTTCTATAACTTTAAATGTAAATCCATGGGAAACAGATCAAATAAAATTAACTAATGTTCCACTAAAATCAAATAGACAAAATATGGACTGTTCAAAAATACTGGGGGCAAAGCAACCAAACCTTTCTAGAGAACATACTCAGGAATCAATTTCTCCTTGCATCTTACATCAGTTTCATATTGAAAAGTGCAAGGAAGAAGTATCAGCAAGAGAAACAAGTTCAGAAATTTTGAGTCCAACAGTAGAGAAAGCACCAAACATATTAGATATCTGGGTGGGTCAACCTCCATGTGCAGGAGGAATTAATTTGCACAACAGAGGAAGAGAAGAGTATCAACCAGAAAGCATCTGCCAGACTTGTCTATCGTCTCTTTCTCCCTCTTCAGGGGATATACTTCAGATTAAAACACCACAGGTACAGAAATCATTAAGGGAAATAAACAGTCCATTGTGTCACAGCTCAAATACAGAAGGAATTGGCATACTTATAGCTGGAAAGGAAGAAGAGCAATTAGAAAGTTCAAAGCAGACACCATGTGTAAAGAAAGCATCAAAAGAAATAGTTAACATCACAGAAAACACTTTGAGTGTAGAAGAAATTGGCAGAAAATATGCACAACCAGAATACTTGCACCAGACTATTCCAAAGTCCATTTCTCACTCATTGGTGGCTAGAACTCAAAGTCAGGCACAAGGTGTAAAGCAGGCATCAGAAGTAGTTAGTGTCATGGATCACACTCCAAATGTAGAGGAAACTGACTTGCTTTTTACAGGAAAAGAACACCAACCAGAAAATATGCACCAGAGTATTCCAAAGCCAGCTTCTAACTCTTTGGTAGATAGAACTCAAAGTCAGACACAAGGTGTAAAGAAGGTATCAGAGGAAGTAGTTAGTGTCATGGACCACAGTCCAAATCTAGAAGAACAACAACCAGAAAGTATGCACCAGACTATTCCAAAGCCAGCTTCTAACTCTTGGGTGGATAGAGCTCAAAGTCAGACACAAGGTCTGAAGCCGGCATCAGAAGAAGTAATTCGCGTCATGGACCACAGTCCAAATCTAGAAGAACAACAACCAGAAAGTATGCACCAGACTATTCCAAAGCCAGCTTCTAACTCTTTGGTGGATAGAGCTCAAAGTCAGACACAAGGTCTGAAGCCGGCATCAGAAGAAGTAATTCGCGTCATAGGTCACATTTTAAGTGCAGAAGAAATTGACTTGCTTATGACAGGAGAAGAAGAACCACCACCAGAGAGTATGCACCAGGCTATTCCAAAGCCAGCTTCTAACTCTTTGGTGGACAGAGCTCAAAGTCAGATACAAGATGTAAAGAAGGCATCAGAAGAAGTAATTAGTGTCATGTACCACACTCCAAATGTAGAAGAAACTGACTTGCTTATTACAAGAAAGAGAGAACAGCAAGAACAATATACATGTAAGGCTCTTCCAGAGTCTGCTACCCACTCCAAAATAGATGTACATGAAATTAATATCCAAAATCAACAAGTGAAATTAGACGAAATGAATACTACGCATTCTGTACATTCACCATCACAGGCTGAAGAGACACTCCAACAAATGGGTGACATGGGTGTATATATTCAAAAAGATAAAACAAGTCAAGAACAAATGCAGGAACACCTGTCAGATTTAAGTGAGAATTTTTTGGATCATGTGTCTTACTCTAAACATGGTTCAGCTCTCCTCCAAGATTTCATACCCCAGGAAAAGGAAGCAGTAACAGAAGTAGAAAACCTGTTATCAAGCAAGGCAAAAGAATTGGACTTGTTTTGTAAAGATCAAATGAATACTAGAATTGAGTATGGACCGGAAGGCACTGAGTCCTTGATCATTCCAAGCCAAAACAAAATGTTGCCTTTAGAATCATGCAGCAAAACTGTGAAATGTCTTCATGCTTCACTTCTAAGAGGAAAGAAATCGCCAGATGGGGCACAGGTAATTAAGTCATTAAAAAATAGTACCTCACTCAAGCGAAAAGTCAGAACCAAGGTAAAATCACATTGTGCAAATCAAAAGAAGCAGAAAGAAGCGTGTCTGTCTAGAACTTCTCCACACTGTCTTTATATATATATACCTAATTTTTATGAAAGTATAAGACAGAAGGATAGCACAAAAAAAGGAGAAAAAGACATAGTCTGCCGTGAAAGAAGAACATTGAAGTCAAAGAAATCAGTATTTTCACATACAGTCAGTACCACGGACCATGGTACCTCAAGCACCAGACCAGAACTGCAGTGGAACATAAAAGAGAAAATGACAAATATAAAATATAGACAGGGTGAGCCAGATGTGGTTGTGTCAAAACCATATGATTTCATATCTTCTTCACCTCACCTCAAATTGAAGGAAAAGACAATTGATGGAGTTACTTCAAGTGGAATAAAAAATGACAAAAAACATATATCCCAGAAAGAGGAGATGGATGAAGTAAAGACAGTTGACATGAAAGGAATAATGAACCCTCAAGTTCAAGCACTGAGGGCGAAGGAATCACCGTTGTCACATATACTCAATGGAAGGGACCTGCTGTTGCAGTTGAGAGTTAACAAACAAGAGAGCAAGGTTCAGGAAGGAAACGATAAATTGCGTACAGAAGTGACGAACTTGTGTGCTTTTTTACCATCTCTATCACATCTTAATTTGAATTTAAAAATAAAAGCAGGAAAAGATAAGCTAAACACATTAAGCCTTCCACCATTTAAGTTCCAGACATCATCAAAAGTCAGTCAAATGACATATGCAGATTCAGATAGAGACTTTTTAAGCAGTGGAACAAAATCAGAACAATGTTTGCCACAGAAAAATGAAGATAGAGGAAGTACAGCAAATGTAAAAGATAAAATGGACCTCAAATGTAACCCTTTGAAAGCAAATAAAGCATCTTTCAAACATATTTTTCATGCAGAGGAATCACAGTGGAGCATTAAAGAACAAGAAAAAACAATTCAAGAAGATAAAGGTGATCTTGGTGTAGGTGTGAGTAAGCCCTGTGCTTCCATTCTTTCTCCATCTCCCCTTAAATGGGATGCTAGAATAAAACCAGAGGAAGACATACAGTGGATGACAAGATTTGGCTGTTCACCACTAACACTCAAGGAATTATCAGATACAATGAAAATATGTGAAGAGCCAACTGATGATCTTTTAAGTCAAATTAGAAAAGCAAAATATAGATTACAGAACAGTAACATACAACAAAAAGAAAAAGGTAGAGGGGAAACAGCTTTGGAAGAAATAATAATACATCCCAAAAGAATATCTTTGGAAGCAAAGAAACCTTCAGTGTCACAGAAATTATTGTTGCAAGAAGATACAGATCAACACGTTGGAATTCAGAATAAATCGTATACTTCTATCTCGCTTCCACCTAACCCAGAATTGAACAAAAAAATAAAAGGACAGGAAGACCTCCAAGGGATAACAAGATGTGGTTGTTCACCCCTAACTCTCCAGGAATTATCAGCTACAATGAAAACAGGTGAAGAGCCAACTGATGATCTTTTAAGCCGAATTAGAAAAACAAAATACTTGCCACAAAAAGATAAAGGCAGAGGGGAAATAGCTTTGGAAGAAATAACATATCCCGAAGGAATAGTTTTCAAAGTAAACAACCCAGTTCCACAAAAATTGCTGTTGGACAACATGGAAAAAGAGAAAAGAATGCAAGAAGATAAAGAAGAACAAGTTAGGAGTCAGAGTAAATCTTTTGCTTCCATCTGTGTTCCACCTTACCCTCAATTAGACATAAGAATAAAGAGAGAAGACACACTAATAAAAACAAGATCTTCTTTTCCACAACTAAATGTCCAGGAGTCATCATCTATAAGAAAAATACTACAGAAAAGGTCTGTTTCTGGTGACATCTCATATAGTGTAAGAAAAGGCAAAGGACAGATGATGCTGGAAGAATGTAGAGTAAAGATGGATATACCTTTGAAGGAAAATAAATGGCCAGTTTCACAGGAATTTCAGTTGGACATCACAGAGCAAGAGAAAAAGGTGCAAAAAGTTAATGGTAAAACAAATATGGCTCTGAATACCAGCAGCACTTACACCTCTTCCCAATATCTACAAAAATATAAAATAGAGGAAAATGTGGAAGTAAAAAGATGCTCTCTTTCAGAACTATCACCCCAGAAATCATCAGATGCAGTGAAAGTAGTTAGCGAAGAGTCCATTCAGGCTGATATCACTAGGGATGCACAAAATGCAAAAAAATATATGCTTCAGAAAGAAGAAGATAACGTACAGATTTGGGACACAGTACATCCAAAAGATAAAGATTTGAATGTAGAGAAAGCCTTTTCACAGTATCTCTCATTGGAGCTTAAAGAGCAAAGGAAAATGAGTCAAGGTGAACAGGAAGTCCCTTTGACCACAAATGGGGCTTGTGAATCTTTTCTAACTCATCATGAGATGGACAAAAGAACAGAAAGGCAGAAAGATATACAAGGACTAATGCGATCTGCCATTTCACAACTCCCATTCCAGAAGCCATTTGGCACTGGGAAAACAGCACATACGAAGGTAGCAGGGGATGATAACTCTAATAACGTAAAAGCTGTACAAGAGCACAAGCCACTGAAGGGAGAGGAGATAGGAAAAACAGGAAACACGAAATACATAACACACTCCAAAGGTACAACCTCTGAGGCAAAAAACTCAACACATTTGCAAGTACTCAATGTTACTGGAGGGGGTAGTCCCAGAACTAGTGAAGAAGTACAGATGAACGTAAAAGAGAAAATGGGATCTGTACAGGGAAGAAAAAGTGAACAAAATGAGGTTCCAGCAGCCCCTTCTCTACCTCACCTTAAACTAGATGCAGGAATAGAAAGCAAAAAAGACAGATCTTTTCTTCCACCACCAAATCATACGGAATCATCAGATGTAGGCCCACAAAAACTTATGACATCAACTGTGGATGGTATCTTAAGCGATTTAAAAAGAACAAAAGACATGACACAAAAAGTTGACATAAACACTACTGCTGAAAAGGAAAGAATGAATCCTAAACCCAGAGCTTGGCAGTCAAAGAAATCACCCCTTTCCCAAATACTCAATACAAATAAGCTTCAATTAAACATCAAAGAGCAAGAGAAAAGGGGACAGGAAGGTAAGGGTGAAACAGTTGTGATCCTGAGCCAAACTTGTACGGTTGCAACTTCTGCAACTCACCTTAAATTAGACAAAATAGAAGAAAAGGAGAGTGAGCTAGGAACAGTAAGAAACTTTGTGCCACATCGTAAGTTCCAGGGATCCTTGGCTTCAGGGCAAATAACTCCTGCAGAGCCAGTGGGGTCCACCAGTGAGTGCCATGTAAAGAAAAGAAAACAACACACAGGACAGAAAGAGGACAGCGGGAAAACATCATCTAGGACAGAAAGTGGACAGAGGCTGATGCACCCTCCAAACACAATTTTCAAAGCACAGACATCACCATTTTCACACATGTTCAACATCATTGACAACGGTTCCCTGACCAAGAGAAAGGAGCCACAGTGGACTCTGAAAAGGAAAGTGGAACAGGAGATGGAAAGACAAGGAGAACCTGATGTCATCATGACAAATACTCCTACTTCAGTGCCTTCTCCATCTCACCAGGCGCTGGATACAACAGTCAAAGCAGACAAAGACTTGCTGGCAAATACAGGTTTCTGTCTTTCACAATTAAAGACCCAAATATCATCAGATGCTGGGAAAGTCAAAGGTGCAGAGTCAAGTCAAAGTAATAGCTCACTGAATGTAATGCTAAAAGACAGTCAACATATACCACACACAGAGGCAAATGATGGGAACAGAGTGGAGCACAGAAAAGATGGCACCCCCCCCAAATTAACAGCTTTAAAATCAAAGTCATCCCCACTTCACAGATTCAGTAGAAAGAAACTATCATTGAATATTAAAGAGCAAGGAGCAAAAGTTCAGGAAGAAGGCAAAAGTGAACCAGGAGTGGTTCCCAGAAAAACATTTGCGTCCTTACCTTCTCCATCATACCTTGAATGGAACGTTAGAATGAATGAACAGGAAGATACACTAGGAATAATACAATCCTGCTGTCCACCAAAGATTCGAGAGTCATCAGACCCAGGCGAAGAAGCATATACTGAGTCAACTGATGATTACATGTTCAGTAATAGAAAAAGACCAATACAATCTGTAACTCAGAAAGAAGATAGACTCAAAATAGATAGAAAAGACAAAATGCTCCCAACACATATGCATTTGAAGGCAAATAAATTACACTGGGAAATTAACGAGCAAGAGAGAGACGTGTCAGAAGACAAGAATAAACTAGATATAGGTCTGAAAACTATTTGTGTTTCGTTACTTACTCTACCACATCTTAAATTTGATACAACAGAAGGAGAAGGACACATGATAAGAATTACAAAATTGCCTCTCCAACAACCAAAATGCAAAGAATCATCAGATGCAGAGAAAATAGCCCATCTGGAAACAATTGTTAGAAAACTCTCCAGTGATATAAAAGAATTAAACGAGCACATGCTACAGAAAGAAGAGAAAGGTAACGAAAAAGCCATGGATGTGAGTGGTATATTGGATCCTAATGATATGTATTTAAAGTCAACAAAATCACCTGTTTTGCATACGCACAACTTAACGGACCATCAGTGGAAAACAAAAGAGCAAGAGGAAAAGACTCAGAAAGGTAAAGGTGATCCAGATGTAGTGCCGACTGAAACGTGTGCTTCCAAGTCTTCCTCACCTCACCGTAAAATGAATGACGGAATCAAGGACAAAAGCATGCCAAGGTCAACAAGATGCTCTTTTTCGCAAATCAGCATCCAAGAATCATCAGATTCTGGGGAAGTCGTATATAAGGAGGCAGTTACAAGTGACAGTTCAATCAGTGTGAAAAAGGGAAAACAACCTATGCCACAGAAAAAGGAAGAGGATGGGGTGGAAGTAGGAAACATCACAGTGATCCCCAAATCACAAGATAAGAAGGTAGAGGGACACCATGGTGAACCAGATGTAGTTCTGACTAAATCTTCTATTTCATTACTGTCTCCACATTATCTCAAATTGGATAAACAAATACAAGTGTATGACGAAATGCTAGAAATTACAAGTTCCGTTTTGCAGACAACATCAAATACAGGGGAAATAGTACATCCAGAAACAATTGATGACGATGTCACAAATGATATTAAAAGCAGAAATGAATATATTTCACAGAAAGAAGAGAGGGACAGGGAAAAACCAGTAGCTATTAAATGGGAAACGATGCATCCCACAGATATAACTGTGAAGACAAAGAAATCACCTCCTTCAAATATGCTCCATAGATCAGAACTGCACGTGAACATTAGAAGACAAGGAGAAAAGGAGCAAGAAAGTCAAACTAAGCCACCATGCATGGTTCTAAGAAAAATGTATACTTCTGAACCATCTCCACGAAACCTTAAGTTGAATAAAGATACACAAGTAGATAAAGAAATGCTAGAAATTAGAAAAGGCTCTCTACTCCCACTAATATTTTCAACAGCATCATTTACAAAGAAAATAGCAGCTAGAGAAACAATTGATAGGGCTGTGAAGAAGGACAAACAGTATGTGCCAGAAAAAGGAGGATCCAAGTTGGAAACAGTAGATAGGAGAATGAGGATGCACTGCAAAAGTGCAAAGATGTCACCAGTTTCACATATGATCAATACAAGGGAATTGGTTTTAAATATTCGAAAGCCCGAAAGCAAAGGGCAGGAAGATAAAGGTGAAATGTGTATGGTTCTGACAAAGACTTTCTTTTCCTTACCATCCGTACCTCCCCTCTCTATGGATCCAGGAATCAAAATGGATGTAGACACATCAGAGATTACTGAATTCTCTCGTCCACAGCAAAATCATAAGGAATCCTCAGATACCCAGACACTTGCAAAGAGACAGTCAGTTGTTGGTGATGGGGAAAGCAGTTTTAAAGAAACAGAACACCGTGAGCCACCGAAAGACACAGTACCACAACGCAGCTCAAACTTCCTGATCAGTGTGCAGCGAAGGATGGGACTTCCTCGAGTCAAATCTGAAGGGGATCTGAACCAGTTAGTTTTAAATTCAAAGGAGGAGGACATTTATTTCACAGGATTTGGTACTATAAGAAGTAGAAAAACAGTGGAGTGGCTCTTTACAGGGCAAAGTGCTCAGCCAGAAAAATATAAAACAGAAAGGCTCAGTGCCTTTGTTTCCTACCCCACAGTGGATTCAATTAAAAGCGGAAACCTGGAGAAAGGAACTGACGTGATGGAGAGCTTAAACCATAAAACGTGTCCTAAGGTTTCAGCTCCAGTGTCAAGGAAAATGTCCAAGGAGATGTGTATCACATTTGGTACTCCTGTAAGTTCAAAAGGCCAAGAATTATCTGTTTCAGAGCCAGAAGTCCAGCTACAAGGAACTTCTCCTAAAACACCTTCTGAATCTGTGAATTCATGCAAATTTGTTAAGCCAGAAAAAGACGTACAAAGTAACAACAAAACAAGCAAAATAGTTTCTACTCAAGTGTTAGCAGCACAAACAAATGAATCGCCAGAGGAAATGAATATCCCAGAGTTGAATACCCACCAAAATATGCAAGAACCGGACTTGATCATGAAAAAGCACATGGAGCAGCAGTCTGACAGCGAACCTGAGAGCATGCCCAACTCTATCCTTTCTCATAAGTTTTCATTTCAAAATGGAAAGCAGAAGACAGCACTGGAAATAGATGTGGGCCAGAAAACAGTAATGTCCCCTGGAGTAGTAATACCACCAGAAACACAGGATATTACACAGCTTGATTCCACAAGAAAGAAAAAACAGCAGGTAGTGCTTGCTTCAGAACCAGCAGAATGCATTCTAGAATCGCTTCAAAAGTCTGTTGTTCCCCACTTGAGTTTTCCATTTCAATCTAAAGAATTGGAGGGAATAAGTGAGAATGACAGAAGTGTGGCTATAAATCTGGGTCAGAAAACATTAGAAATGGACGGCAACAGTACTGTGAATCAGGAAGAAGTGAAATTAAAAGTAGATACAAGCAAAACTGTACATCCAAAAGAGGAAAAAGTAGAAATGCCCAAGAGCAGTACTATGGATCTCGAGAAGGACAAAATAAAAATGGACACATGCCATTCTGCAAATGTGGAGATTCCATGTCTAAAGGCAGAGAAATCTCCAAGTAAGAACCAGGTAGTCACTTCTATCGTGGGCAACTGCCCAACCAAGCAAAAACATAGAAAAGAACTCACAGCGTTGGATGCAAAGCAAATCACTCAACCACAGAAATTTTCTCAAAAAACTGTTCTGGATTCACTTTATGCCTATATTCCTCTTTTATCCAAATTTGAAGGCCAGAAGGGTAGAATAACAATAAAAGATTTGCAAAGAGAATTAAGTCCCAACTATTTAATTATGAAAGCCCCAAGTCACCCAATTTCCCAGATACTTAGTATCTCAGGGCGTGGTACTCGAACAAATAGAAAAAAATTAGAGTATAACTTTGACAAACATAAGAAGATGGCATCGTGGAATAAAGATGCCTCAGGAGTATCTATTAGAAGTCTTTCTATGATGAGGCCAATTCACTCAGAAGAAGCAGTAGAATCCAAGACAAACCTAAGAAAAGAACGGAGAATCTGTCGTCCTAAATCACTACATGTTAGTGAAATTGCTAAGAGGTCTACCACAAGCTCTGTAAAAGAAGGGAAACAGAAATTTGCAAAAACGACCCCAGAAGATTCCCAGTCAATCGTGGCTGATGAACAACAAACGAAGAAACTTCTTCGTACCGAACTAAAAACAAACCTTAACGATAGAATAAGTAAAACACTTGTAACTCCACAAACAAAAGGGGTTGCTTCAGAGTATGATGCCTCAAAAGTTATAAAAGAACCTGATTTGCGTATTACTGATCACCAAGAGAATAGAGCGCAACGCATTTTGGAACCCGCTAAGTCGTTTATGTTTGAAGAGACAAAGGACAATGTGGAAGATACACACATGGAAAGCCCCCGAAGGATGAGCATTTCACCTTCAAGGGCAGAGAAATCACAAAGTGGGATGCAGCTATTAGATACCGTGGCAGGTGTTTCACCATCCAAGCAAAGGGATCCAAATGAACCAGTGTGGGATCCAACCGTACAAGGGATGCAGCAACACAAAGCTTTCCCAGGAACGATTCTGAATTCTGCTTATGCTTATGTGCTTGTTCCACCCCAAATGAAAAGTAATGAAATAAAAATACTGGCAGGTAGTGCAAATACAGAAAGTTCACTTCCTGTTTATAAAGAAATTAAAAGTGTTCGTGAATCCCAGGAGAAAAATATGATGGCTGAGAGGAATCAAAGATTTGTAGATCAAAGAGACAAGTCTTCAGAGGGCCAGTCATTCACTTTTGTTAAGACCAAAGACAAAGTTTCTGCTCATAAACAGGAGAAAGTGCGAGACCAGAAACCCCACAACTTAAAGTCACCACCTAATCCAGAAGGCCCAGATGCAATATCAGCTAAGTTACATCTAAAAGTGCAGCCAAGACCCTTTCTAGATTTTACTACTGAAGTAAAGCATAAACTCACTAATCACTTAGAGTCAAAAGCACTTGAAATAAAGCTGAATCTGATACCAGAAAGAGCAAATAAATCCTTCCAAAAGTTTAGCACTTACCCCAAACAACCTATTTCAGAAGACTATAAGACTTTGGGACTGTATCCCAGATATAAAACAGTGTGTTTTGTGTCTCTCGAAGGAATTGATACAATAGAACTTAATTTAAAACAGGACGATTCATCTTCCAACTGTATGAAGACACTGATTGTTAATGTTTCAGGTGGCAAAGAGGAGATGATCACAAAGTTAACGAGTGCTAACAGAAAACCTTCAGTGTTTCCAGCTGACAGTGAGATGCCTTCACCTCATGTTCTTCAAAGCTGCTCAGGAGAAGAAAAAGACAAGCTTCTTATGCACTTTTCTATGAAAATATTGGAGATTAAAATGAAAGCATTTCCCAGAATTGTAAGGGAATCCTATGCAGTGACCGAGACCCAAGAAAGAAGGAAACCTTTAATAAAATGTATTCATTCTGGAGTCAAAGCTCCAAAACGCAGAAACAGAATTTTGGTATTTTTTGAGGAAAAATCGCTTCATAAAATAGATCTTGATTTACAATACAAATACCTTTGTTCCCTGATGGGGCTTACTGCTGACCATATGTTCCTGAAACGAAATGCACTTCCCAAGCCTGAATTAAGCACAAGTACAATAGGTAAAAAAGTACATGATGTTGGAGTAAATTGTGACCTTCCCATGGATGCAGGACTGTTGGAACGACAGAACTCTTTCCAAAAGCTAAGTCCTCATGAAAGCTCATCACTGATCAGAAATTTCTCAGAGCCAACTCATATGGGTTCTTCTTATTCTGATCCACACAGCACAGTCGTGAAAGATAGTAGTGTTGGTTCTGAATCAAAATCTCATGTAACTCCAGAAAAAGATAAGGAATATCATGTGTGGTTTCAACAAACAAATAGGTATAAAACTTTTGACTTAAAGACTCAGGAATATGTTAATTTAATTGACACACCTCCAATTCAGATTTGTGATATTACAGATGTACAGACAAATATGGAGAATTCATCTAACTTAGAGAGATGTCCATCTCTTGAAGTATATGAGAGTGAAGAATATATATATTTGGAAGCCAACCCTTATTTAAGTCAAGATCTGAAAAGTATTCCATTTGAATTACAAGAAGGCATTCCTTTGGAAAATATCTGCCAGACGAAGAATATCAAAACTGATTTGACACAATTTTGCAATGCAGATTCAGGTTCCCATGATAATAGAGGGAGAAAACACACTTTGTCACCACCTTCTTACAAATCCCACAAAAACAAAAAATATAATTTATCCTCCCAAATGCAATCTCCAGATTGGTTTTGCCACAGCTCAGTAAATACTGCAAAAATTCAGTCCACGTCATCCATGTCTTTCAGTGAAGAGAAGCTTACGTGGATGAGGAGGAGCAAAGCAAGCTACTCTTTAGCTCCCTTAACGGAATCAAACATCAAACTCCATCTCGCAACAAATCAAGGCAAACATCACACAAATCTAGAAAGCAAAGACAAAAGGAACCCAAAATTTGACTTCCTTGGGAAGAATAACATTCATTTGGACTATGATTACAGTTGCACCCGGAGTAAAGAGAAAAAGACAAGAAAAAAGAAGGAGTGTGATTATGAGTCAGAAAGCGTAGAATGGTATTTCCAGAGGAGATACCCGTCAGCACCAGAACCTCAACAAGAATATATTTCTATAGCCAAACAAAACAAACCATTTTTTTATGCCTGTATACCAGCAGACTCACTAGACATCATCCCCAAAACCATTCGCTGGACGATTCCTACTAAAACCTTAAAGAAGAGAAACTTCAGAATTCCCCTGGTGGCAAAGATGTCAAGCTCCTGGAATATATGGACATCATCCAAAAAGTTGTTGGCATCATTCTCAGGGTCCTTTAGCTCACGTCCAGTCCATGACAAGTGATAATACCTTGTCTAGATTCCTCTTAAATGGAAAGCTGGTTGCTATGGGGGTATTCTAAGGAAAATAAAGCAATATAAAGCTAAATGCTTTCTTCATGAAGTATTTCCCTAAGATGATGTATTTTATTTCTACACCAGACTTGTGCAGTTGTTCTGAGGGGCTGGGATGGGAAGGCCATGTGTAGGCTATTCTTTTAATTTATGCTGCCTCCTCATAATTCTAAGAGAGAAACCTTCACTTCACCCTACACCAGTGTCTAAAGGGATAGTTAGTGGGATCATGCCCTATAAATGAGACTGAGAGTGAATGGCTAGAGAGATAGGAAGGCAGGAACACAGAAAGTAAAAGAGGGAGAATTCCAAGTAGGAATTTAGGGTCCAACAACATCAAATGACACGAAACATATAAATACTGAGGCAAATTTAAATATATGCCTGTTGGGTTTAACAACCAGACTGAATATTTCAGTACTTTTTATTAGGAACAATTTTTAATATATACAAAAAGACAAAATAGTATAACAGACCTCTATGTAGCCATCACCCAATCATCAAACCTTCGACCTATATACCCAGATTCTTGAATAATCTCTTTTAGAAGAAGGATCAGCACAAAACTTACTCGTATGAGGTGGAGGTTAAAGATGCCCCAGATGACCAAGTTTTCCAAAATGCTGTATCACTCGATCATTTCTGATATCATCTACTCCTCCTTCCCTCAGTATTCTCCCTCATGTATCAGAGTTCTGTAATTTGTTGTAGCATCTCACAGAACTCATGGACCATCAAGGAAATGAATAGCACGCATGGTTGTGGAGGCTGGCAAGTCCTAAATTCACATAGTTCAGGCTGTTGACGCACCAGGCGGCGGAAGCTGGCAGACCACTGGTTCAAGTTCCTAGAACTGGAGGTCAGAGGCAGGATCCAGAATAAGAGAGTGAACTTTGCCAAAGCATTACCCACAGCCTCCGTGCTCTCCCAGGTCTCACTGTGCTACAGAGACACAAAATGGCTGAAAGAGGAAGAAGCAGCTCTTACTTGATTGGTCAAGCGAAGAGCACACTGGGATTCATGTTGCCAAGATGGCTTCCTGAGTCCTGGGCCTGAGGTCTCTGATTAGGGTCTTTTAGGGTAGTAGCTGGCATCTGATTAGTTGCTGTTAGGATGTTTTAGCACAAACATTTCTGCATATCCTTAGGAAGGGGGAGTCACAAACATGGCAATTTGTCCACAGCATGGGTGTTGTGGAGGTATGTTTTTAGTCTCATTATCAAAAGGTCAGGCCAGATAGGGTCTCAGCCAGATCTGCGGCCATAGCTGCCTCCTCCTCTTATTAAAGCAGGAAACCGGCAGTTGGTTAAACAAGGGAACAGAAGTTCTTGTTTTAATACAGATATCAAAGATGGTGGCTAATATGCAAACCACACCCCCCAAGGAACTAAGGATGATGACTTGAGTCACACCCTCTAGTAAGGTGGACACTCAAGATACATCTTGTTAACATAACACTACACACTGAAAAATGGACACATAACCACAGGCAGAGAGACTAGGATTTAGGATAAGTCACAAAATGGAGAACTCTGGTAGAGTAGTGGTTACAAATCGGGCTGCAAGCCTCAAGGTCAGCAGTTCGAAACTACCAACTGTTCCACCGAAGAAAGATGAGGCTCTCTGCTCCCGTAAAGATTTACAGCCTTGGAAACCCTGTACAGGGTCACAATGAGTTAGAACCGACTCCACAGCACATAACCACCATGGTTGGAAGGCTCATATTAAGTCATTCACTGCAGCACACGAGATTTGCCTTATATACTTCCCATCCACATGTATATTAATTAGGATTTTTAAGTAAATCCCATATATAGGTTATTGGTGTGGCATTGTGGGTTAACGCACTGGACTGCAAAGTCATTTAAACCGCAAGGTCAGCGGTTCACACTCACCAGCTGCTCCTTGGAATCCCTTTACAGGGTCATTATGGGTCAGAACCAACTTTATGGCACTTAACAACTTTTATCTACAAGAACTATTTAACATAGTCGTAATGCCATGATCACATCTGAACAAATAACATTTCTTAATATCAAATAGTCAATTTCCAATTATCTCATAAATGTCATCATTTTTAATAGTTTGAATTGGACTATAAAGTCACACTGTGCTAGATCTATTCTTGTTGTTGTGTGACTTTGAGTCAGTTCCAACTGACAGTGACCCTACTTCTGAGGAGCAGGTGGTGGGTTTAAACCACCGACCCTGCAGTTAGCAGTCCAGTGCTTGTCCAATAGGACTGCCCTTCTATTAGGTTTCTTTATTCCTTGCACTTTTTCAAATGGAAGAAACCAAATTGTTCTATAATATCCCCATGGCAGATTGAAATTTAATTTAATTTTGAATTCCTGCTTGTTCCTTACACAGTTTCAGCATTTAAAAAAAACCCAAAAAGCAGTGTTTCAGAAGATTGTCACAGCAGCAGCGTCAGTGTCAGAGCTGTTGAAATTGTCAGGTTTCTTTAAGGGGGAGGGAAGGATCATGTTCTTGTGAAAAAGTCTCAGCGAGGTAGCAAACATCTATCAAAAATGACATAATTCTTATTTCCATGTAATTCAGCGAAAGCACGATGAAAACCAGGATTGTACCAAACCTTGTTATATTTTCAGATTTCCCAAATTATTTCACCAATCCTAATGCCCTAAGGGGAGTCCTGATGTGGTGCTGTGGGCTAATGTATCAGACTGCAAAGTTTGAACTGCAAGGTCAGTGGTTCAAGCTCACCAGCTGCTCCCTGGAAACCCTATGCAGGCTTTCTATGGGTCGGAATCAACTTGATGGCACTTAACAACAACAACAACAATGCCATAAGAAGTCCTAGTGTGGCACTACAGGATAAAGCACTGGACTGCAAGTTTGATTTAAACTATAAGATCGGCAGTTCAAACTCACTGGTGGTTCCTTGGAAATCCTATACAGGGTCACTATGAATTGGAATTGACTTGACGGCACTTCACAACAATAACAGTGCCCTAAAAAGGTCCTTGCCTCACACACACGCACACACACACACACATTATGAAAAGCAAGCACAATTTTATGTGCCTTTCTAAAGACACTGTTGCTATGCTATTGATTTCCAGAAAGGTTATACAGAATTCCTCTCTCTTTGTACAATCACCAGCTTTAGATATTTTTGAAAAGTTGATACATTTGCCAGGTAAATAGATAAATGTCATTAGTTTACTAGTGAAGGTTTCATGTGCTGATTAGGTTTTCTTCTGTCAATTTGTAAATAAGATATAGTTTAGATACAGTAAAACTCACCTTTCAAAGTTCTATGAGTTATGACAAGGAGCTCTGGTAGTGTAGTGGGTTACATGTCGGGCTGCTAATCTCAAGGTCAGCAGTTTGAAACTACCAGTAGCTCTGTGAGACAAAGATGAGACTTTCTGCTCCTGTAAAGATTTACAGCCTCGGAAACCCTGTTTAGGGTCTCTATGAGTCAGAACTGACTCCACAGCACCCAATACCACCAAGAGTTATGACAGATGCACACAGCCATATATAATTACCATCAGAATCAAGACAGAACATTTCATTGCCTCAAAAAGTTCTCCTGTGCCTTTTGTAGTCCGTTCTCCCTGAGTCTCTAACATAATAACACTTTTCTCCCTTTAGAGTTGGGCCTCTTTTCCTGAATTCTGTATAAACAGAGCCATACAGAATGTAGCCTTTTGAGTCTGACTTTTATTTGGCAAAATGCATTTGAGATTCATCTCGGTGATGTGTCCCTTTTTACTGTTGAATTCATTGAATGAATGTGTGCCAAACCAAAATTCTTTCACCAAATGAAGACTATGGGAGTTGTTTCCAGTTTGGGGCAAGAATGAATAAAACACTATAAATAATTCATGTTCCAGCTTTTGAGTTGTCAACGTCTTCCAACCAAAGCCCACCAGGAACACGACTCTGGCTGAACACATTGATTTTAGTACCCCACCCCCACCCCCACTTCACACTGACTTCTGTGCATCGTTTGCTTTTATTTCATCAGTGACTGAAAACTCAGCTTCAGAAAGAAATGATGTCACTGAAAGGAATGTAGCAGGATCTGACAGCGAAACTGTAGTGCCTTGAGCTAGTTGTTCACAAAACCTCCAACAGATGTCACTGTGTTTCTCTCAAAATTCAAAAATGCTTCATGTTGCCACAGGGCACCTGCTTGGAACTGTTTACTACAGGTTAGTGTAATACTCTATTTTCTATAATTTCTTCAAGAACAAGTCTTTAACATCTCCCCTCTATCACCATTTATTTTTACTCTCTACTGCAGCCTTTGCAATAACATACATGTTGTTGTTGTTATGTGCCGTAGAGTTGGTGCTGACTCATAGTGACCCTGGACAGGGTTTCCAAGGCTGTAAATCTTTACGGGAGCAGAAAGCATCATCTTTCTCCCACGAAACAGCTAGTAGTTTTGAACTGCCGACCTTGTGATTCGCTGCCCAATTAGTAACCACTATGCTACCAGAGCTCCTAACATACATACATGTTACGATGTCCTATTTGCAAACTACCTAGGGATTTTAGGACTCAAGGAAAGACAAGTTTCTTGTTTTATTTTTTTACCTTTACATACTGGCCTGGGAACTGGAGAAGCTGGGACCTTGAAATATGGACAAAAGAAGGAATTCTTTTAAAAATCCCAATAAAAGACTTTTTTCCAACCAAAGGACTGGAAAAGGTGGAGTGGGGGGTTGAGCAGGATGGAATTTCTTTGATAATACCTTATATACTCCAAATATCCTCCAAACCACATCTCTCCAATTCCTCCACACACACACTGTCCTCTCTCCCTTGGGTTGTCTGCCCAGCACCGGTAATGCGGGAAAAACTCTAACTCCATCCCTGTCCTCAAGAAGAAACGTATCTCTCTCTGTCAGACCAAGAGTAGGTGTCCAGAAAGACTGGTTGGGAGTTCAGAATTGCATCCTACCTGCTGAA